CCGCGCTCCACGGCGATTACGTTCGCTGAGGCTTCCAGTCGCCGCCCCGCGGTCGGTTACCTGGGCTGAGAGCGGGTGGGGGTGCGGCCCCTCGGTGTGAGGGCTGGGGGTTACCACACGCGGCCTCCCCCGCTCCCCGGGAGCTTTTGCAGCCCTGAAACTGGGCCAGAGTGGAGGCTGTGGAGTTTTACCTACAAACCCAGTTTGGTTTCACCTGCTGTGTTTGTCCAGGAAAAAAAAAAAATCAAAAAAGGCCCAATAATGTGACAAAAGTACTTCAGGCTGAGTCTGAATATCTTCTAAAGATGGTGCTAATGTAATTGTACCTAGTTTAAAAGGCAGTGGTAGTTCACGTGGGAGGGCCAGACTCGTGGCTGGACTGGGCAAGCTGAAATCCCTTTAGCCTTTAAAAGCTCCAGCACAACCTAATCAGGTTGCCCCTACCACACACTGGGGCCGGGCTCCCCTCTTAGGAGGGGTCCCGGGACAACCCCGCAGGGGTGCGGATCCTGTCCCTCGTCCTGGGGACTGTCAGGGAGTTATCTGGCAAGTCTGTGTTTCTATCCTTCCAAAAGTTCCTGCTTTTCTGTGCTCCGGAGAAATTCAGCGACCRTTTGGACATAGGGAAGGGAGGTTGTCTCTTCCGTGAGCCATTTAAAGCGTTTGGCATGTCGCCTGGTAAATATCAAGGGATACATGCAGGGAATAATGAATTAAAAAAAAAAAAAAGGTGGGGGGGCAAAAGGGAGGAAAAAAGGCGYCTCAGTAGCATGAGGTCAGTTCTGTTCCCTGTAACAGCAGTTCTGTCCCGGGGTGCTTTGTGGCAGGTCTGTCCATAGGCAGCAAACCTGTGTGACTGCACYGACACTGCTTTCCCTCCCTCCTGGAAGGAGCCTGGGTGGCAGCTAGCGTGGCTGCAGCCGTCTGTACTCTGGTTGTGCCTTTCTAGTGGAGCAGCCTACAGAATACCTTAGTCAGCACTTGTCGGGAGGACAGAGGGAGATTCCCTTCCCTGGCAGGGCAGCAGGCGAGAGCGGCCGCTGGAGGCGCGGGAAGCGGCACCGTGTTTGCAGTGACAGCCGCAGCGCCAGGCTGCAGGAGAAACACACCGACTTGCTGGGCGGTCACGGTCTGATTTTTATCTTACCCCTGTGAAAGTTGGGAAGAGAACAAAATGCTCTTGGCTTTTGCTGTGTAGGTTTCAAAATTTACAGTAAAAAGTGGCTGTTTGGACTTAATGTTATTGTTTTTAAGATGTTAGCAGGAAAAAAGGAGAGAGAGGAAAAAAAAAGCAATGTTGAGATAATACCTACAGTTTCCACTTAGTGCTAGTTTGAGTCATTTCACAATTGTACAAAGCAGACAACATCCTTTAAAAATAGAAGTTAATTTGTAAAAAGCTGCTCTGTAGGGAGAGAAAGATTTTATAGTGTATCTTCTGGCTTCAGAGGCAAATATATTAGCTTGGTATTGTTCATAAATTTCCATGCATGTTCAAATAAAATCCTTAAATTGTTAGTGAAGAAGCAAATACTCCATCTGCCAAAGTGCATTAGACTTCACTGCCAGCTCTCACTTAATTTAGTTTTCTTCATGTAAGCAATTCCTTCCTTTTTTTTTTAATGTGTAGGTCTAATGTAAATTCTGAGAAACAAAGTTATAAAATCCAGCAACCCCCAAATCTTAGGGTACAAACTGAAACTGGTTTATAGCTTTAATCTCTATTTTGGTTCATTAAATATGCTTCTAAGACTTTACTAAAGATGCACTGCACTTAGTTATTTTGCATGATTTGCAAGGAGAAAATAAAGTTAAATGGAKCCACTCATTACCAGTTGCTTAAGAAGTAAGTCCTGTGATGTGCTAACCATTAGATGACCTATTCTTAAAAACTCTACCTTAGCAGAGTGCTAAAGAGTCTGAACTAAAATTACAACTTTGTCAAGTGGAGGCAGCGTGTGGAATATCCCCACTGTGGTGGGTTAAAAAACCTTTCTGGGTTTATCCTTTTCCTGTGCCTCACAGAGGCATTGGAAATGTCTCTTTCTCAGAACTTCAGAGAGTTTTCTTGTAACAGATTGTGAACTTAAATATTGGTTTGATGATAATATGCAACTTGCATTAAATACCGGATCTAGCCCACTAGGGTATATTAAAATTTGTACCGTTTCTCATGAGTTAGAAATACATTCCTATAGTTTCTTGAGCAAGTTCTGTCTTGTGTAATTATTCCTATTGTCTTCCTTTTTTTTTTTTTTTGTAGAAGCACTAAAAGAAATAGATGATGTCTACGAAAAATACAAGTCGGAAAATGATCCTGCCCATAAGAAACGCTTGCAGCAGCATCTTCAGCGTGCATTAATCAACAGCCAAGAACTTGGAGATGAAAAAATTCAAATAGTTACTCAGATGCTAGAACTCGTAGAGAATAGAGCACGGCAAATGGAAACACACTCGCAATGTTTTCAAGATGTGTCTGAGAATGAAAAGCCCCTGGAAAAGGCAAAGATGGATTCCTGCCAACCGGAGCGATCTTCGCGCCGGCCCCGCCGGCAGCGCACAAGCGAAAGCCGCGATCTGTGCCATATAGCAAATGGCATCGACGACTGCGATGAGCCACCCAAGGAAAAAAGATCCAAATCTTCCAAGAAGAAAAAACGCTCCAAAGCCAAGCAAGAGAGGGAGATGTCACCYGTAGAATTTGCAATTGATCCCAACGAACCAACTTATTGCTTGTGTAACCAGGTGTCTTATGGCGAAATGATAGGATGTGATAATGAACAGTGTCCTATTGAGTGGTTTCACTTCTCGTGTGTTGGACTCACCTACAAACCAAAGGGGAAATGGTACTGCCCCAAGTGCAGAGGAGATAATGAGAAAACTATGGACAAATGTACTGACAAATCAAAAAAAGATAGAAGATCGAGGTAGTGAAAGCAATTCATGTTTTAAAGAGTTGCTCCTTTTATATTGAGATGTTTAATTTCCAGAGAACGCTGTTTTAGGAAATGCATAAGACTATGCAATAATTTTTAACCTATAATATTAATGGAGTATTAAAAGCTGTCATACCTTCTGTGATCTTTAACTTTCTGCACTGAATAACCAAATAGTTGAGACAGGGTGACTTCAGACCTTCACAGAAGACATTACAAGCATATGGCTCTTGGTTTCAGTTTAACCCATTAGTATTTTAAAAAGCCTTGTGAATCTTGAAATAGTGGTGATGGGAAAGATACTGAAGAACTTTTCATTTTATGGGAAATTTATTGAGTTCCTCTGAGGCGCCCTCACGTAACTGTTAAAATTCTAACAACTGAATTTGGTATTCCAGGTCTTAAGAGTTTGGGGCTTTTTGTATTAACATCACATTTTTGGAATTAGGGTTTTTGAATTCAGCCATGTATGTAAAGTCTTCCAAGCTTAAAGCAGACCTCTTCAGTGACTTTCATATGACCAGTATGTCATTTCAAGGAAGAACATACCACTAACTTATGCTTTTTATGTCAATATTAAAATCTTGTCTTGGTGACTTTATATTTCGGAGTCAGTTTCTGGGTACGATGATAATTTAGGTGTACAAGCTGTTTGAAACACTCAAGCATGCTGGTGTGGGCTTTGCTCATTAGGATACTCCCCTGATGCTGAAATGACTTCCTGGACCCTCTTCTGTTTTGCCAGGGCCTGGGTAGGTGGTAGAAGCGGTAGGGGATGGGCTGAGTGGGGTTGCTGCTGTCCTGGGATCAGATGTGGTGGGGGTCACGAGCTGCAGGGTGCTGGTGACGGGTACCCCGCTCCTCGGGCTGTTGCAGGGCTCTGCTTGTGCAGCTGTGGCTGCCGGCCAGGAAAGCCCCCGTGTGCYGTGGCCAGGTGGAACACAGCGGCGTATGGATAAGCGCCATAAAATAGTAAGCCTATTTTGGCACCTGGGATCTGATTCCTTCACAGGATCTAGCATTTGCAAGTGAGACTGTAGTTAACATATGGCAGGGGAATGTGAAGCTGGGGTTCAAGTCTCTGCTCTAAAATTTGATTTCTGTGAAGGGGAACAGCCACGCTGTGGAGAGCTGTGCCACAGTGACCAAAGAGCTGCTGCAGAAACCCAGAGTAAGGGCCCTGACCATCAGYGGGGCTGGAGAGAAGCCTTTATTTCAACACCATGCCTTACCTTCTAGGCTCTCAGCTAATTTGCATTTGCAAAGACAGGCTTCTTGAATGGGCTGGATCATTATTACTGACTTCCTATGGAGAAAGATAAGGCTGGTTGCTGGAGAAAAGTGTCTTAAAGCCTATTTTGCATATTTTACTCCTCCAACTTGCTACACTTTAATGATTCTTAGTTTCCTTCTTGGGAAGATATACTGRAATACTTGGATTGGGGACTGTAAGTATCAATATCTAAAGTGTTCTTAAAGTGGAAATACTTCCTAGTATTAGAAAGACCCATTTGAGCACTGAAGTAGTAGCAAAGTACAAGTGAACCTGTATCTGTTAACATTCATCTTTTGAATTTCTATTGGCTAAATCAAGAATATTTTTTTCAAAGCACATGAAGGGAGCTTGGAATCACACAATTGCTCATCTGGAATAACTGCTGAGGTAAGAGAAAAGTGTATTTGGTATGTTGCAGTGTTGCAGAAAGGAAATGTTAAGATGCTGAAAGTGGTGCAGATATGAAGCTCTCATGCAGAGATGCTCTGTTTCAAGCATCCTTCCAAAGTGAATATAAATTCCTAAGGCTGCCAATGAAGATACTGCTGGGGGAGCAGTATTTGCCTAATGCATGAATTCCCTCAGATACAGGAATAACTCAGCACTAGTTCATGAGCAGATCAGCAGTTGGCCTCAGATACACGTGGGTGCATTTGAAATTGTCCCTTTTCAATACTCTAAGATGTTGCTAAAATTTGTATGAGAAAAAGATCTGATGCTATCTGGTATTTAGCGCTTCTGCCACCTCTTCTTATCCAAACTCAGATTTTGCAGTTTTGCATCTATTTTCATACAAGATGAACGGTAATGCGTTGAAGACGTGCATAGGATGTTAATACAAAATAGGCATGTTAAGTAGAAAACTTCCTAATGTTGCTCCTTAAAGTTCCATTCTTAATGAAATGCGCCTCAAAAAAAAAACCCAAAATATTAAAGAATCCTGCATCAGTTGCTGTCAAAGATAGGTATTGACTACCATGAAGTAAGGCTAGTCTCTTGAAGGAAAAAAAAAAAAAAAGAAAAAAGGGCAATTGTTAAAATTGTTTTTGAAGCTGACAAAGGTTAAGATAACAATAGAATATGTAGGTAATAAACCACATTCTCGAAAATTGGTATTTCATCTGAATTCACTGTGGACACATCAAGTTTTATTTTTTTCTGTAAGCTTGGGAAAATGTGGTTTGCCTTTCAAGTTCTGGCCCTTTTGCCTTTCTATGTTGAAAAGATACAAGTTTGTCAGCAGCAAAGGGCCTTCGTAAAGATATAAATTCAAGATTTCATAAATTCATAAATTCAAGAGAAAAGAAAGGGCTTCAGTCAACAATGTTTCTTGATTGTCAACATCTAGATCATTAATCTTGACRAAAATAATGCAACTAGATTTTTTAAAGCAAAACGAACAACTTTACTATTTGCTTTGGAAGCAAAATGAGCAGTTTTAACATTTCCTGCCAATATTATAAAGCCATCTTGCTATCTCCAGCAGTTCATTTTTCTGGACTCAAATTTGACAAGCCTTGAATAGTATACAGTATTAACAGAAGATTTTTCTAGCTGGTCTGTCTAGTCCATAAGCTGTCTGAATTCAAGCTTGGTTAGTTAACAGACATGCTAGGAACCATTTCTTTAAATGTAATCTCTGAAGGTTGTTGTACATTGATTCCTGTTGATTGCTGAAAAGAATGATGCTAATAGTTAAGTATTTCAACTGGTTTTAACTGTGCTACCCTTCCAAGCATTAATTAGCCTATTCTGAGGTGATATAATTGTGATATAGCTGATGAAGCTAGTCTAGTGGTAAGTGAAAAGCCCTCCGCTTCCCTGTATTTATCTAAGGCTTATTTACCTTGGCCTTTGTACAGAAGGTGGCATTTTCTAAACGTGAAGCTTTTCATTTAAAAGCAACTAAGTTCAGCTTGAAGGCAAATAGTGCTGTTTGTCTGAATTCAGACTTTAAAACTGCCAAAGGTTGGTGTTTCTGTAACTTAAACCACTTCTGACTGCACCAGTTCTGGTTTTGAAAGCCTTCGTGTGGGTTTTGTCCTTCAGACACAGCTGGGTACAATTGCACCGTGTTCGGTCTCCCTTGCAGCGCACCCAGCGTTGAGGACCAGAACTGCAGGGACTGCCAGGTAAGCAAGAGCAGCCTCTTCTCTGCATACCTGCTTCTTGCACTAAGAGGCCATCCTCTCCAGCAGCTCTGCAAGCCTTTGACATTGGCATCTCGGGTTAAAGAAGGTAAAGCACAGGCCTCACAAAAGTCCTACTTGCTTSCAGTGCTACCATCCCAAGTTGCGTGTTTGTTTTGGTTTTGTTGTTTTGTGTCCTGTCTCTGTATCCTGAATGCAACAGAGCGATTGATAAAAGCGGTGAAGACCCTTCGGGCAACATGTCTGTCATTTCTCCACGGTGTATACCCAAGTAAATGCTGCCTTGGCAGCTCCTGCTTGCTAAAGCCTGCTTTAAACTCAAGTCACGGATGTGCAAGTCAACTGTCTCATCAGTGGTGTATGGCAAAAAATGTATTATGGGGGGAGAAGGGGTGGGGGCAGCAGTTGGCCTATTGCATAGTTTAGTACAAGAACATCTGCCCCAGTCGGGACTAGCACGCCTGGCAGCTGCTGCTCTTGGCCGGTCTCTGCCGAGGAGATGCAGGCAGCCAGCTCTGTACTGGCCTATGCAATGCAGCACCCCAAAGAACCCAACGGGATCGCGCTGGGCTGAGACTAGGACTGCAGGGTTTTCTGGAGGAGCTGAACTCACAAAAAGCCCTGGAATGGAGGTGCATGCCTCCGTGCAAGCCAGCAAAGTGGTCGATTCTGAACTCTCAAAATTCTATGTTAAAGTGTTTTTTTTATTGAGCATTATGAGCTTTTCTGAGTCATGCTTTTCTCATGCATAAGTCAATGCTTAAGTTCTTTGAATAGCCACCTTTAAATCACAGAATGTTCAAGGTTGGAAGGACCTCTAGAGATCATCTAGTCCAACCTTCCTGCTCAAGCAGGCACACCTACAGCATGTGGCACAGGGTGGCATCCAGGCGGGTTTTGAAGACCTCCAGACAAGGAGACTCCACAACCTCCCTGGGCAGCCTGTTCCACTGCTCTGTCACCCTMACAGTAAAGAAGTTGCTCCTCACCTGGAGACAGAACTTCCTGTGCTCCAGCTTATGGCCATTACCCCTCGTCCTGTCGCTGGCCACCAGTGAGAACAGCCTGTCCCCTTCCTCCCTGCATTCTCCCTTCCTGAACTTATACACATTAATCAGATCCCCTCTCAGCCTTCTCTTCTCCAGAGTTGGATCAYTAGATGTTCTAGTTTTCCTTAAGTTCTTCCTCATTGCTGCTGGATATTTCTCAGTTAGTCTCTCTCAGTGGAATCCACAGCTGCTTTTGCATCTGACCCTCACAAGGTGATAAGGGCTGTCACTCAAAGCCACAAGAATTGTTTTTTCTGTCTAGAACTACTGCTAGGGAGGAGAATTTGCTGTTATATTTGTTGGTTATAAAAATGTTACTGTGCAACTGTTCAAATCCCACAGATTTACCTCACATGGAAGAATTATTATTATTAAAACTGCTAGATGATTACAGAACTTCCAAATTTCCTAAAGCTAACCAGAAAGCCATTCTCTTTTGTGAAAATGTCTCACAAATTTTAATGAAATGAAGTTGGTTTTGAACTGTAAGTAGTTCTCCTTTTGGCAGGCCCATTTTACAGATTAGGGATTAGTGCATAGTGGGCACAAAGGCAATAAAATCCTCTCCGAAGTTTTGCTGTGACATACTTAGACATACTTAGAGTACTTGCACTGGAAAGGGTAACACTGTTAAATGAATTTGACTTCAGTGATTTGCTCTTTAAGACTAGTAGGAAGTCACAGTTTATAGTTGGGGGRAAAAAAAAGTGGGTAAATCTGGAGTTGAACTTAGTATGATTTAAAAACCTAAGGGGAAACTCCTGCCTCCTACTGAGAAGCAGAACAAACTAAAAAATTCTAGAATATTTTGGAATAACTTGCAGCAGAGAAATTAGGATGAAATCCTGTTGCAATTTAAATAAAATTCAGTTGAGCCAGGATTCTTCCCAGCATACAGATTTCCAGCTTCCTTTGACTAAAGCCTAAAAAAAGATTAAAGCTCCATGGCAACTGCTATCTCAACTCCTGACAACCGTAGTATAAATTATATCTTAGAAAAAACTAATCATGAAAGTTTTATTTAGGTCACCAAGTCAGGCTA